GAGATGAGGCAGGGCGACGTGCCGGCTGATGTCACTGAGTCCATGGGGTTGGGTGAGGGGAGCAGGGGAGCAGAGATGAGGCAGGGCGACGTGCCAGCTGATGTCACGTGGTGTTGTTCAGCTGGGCGTGGTGTGGTGGCAGAGTGGAAATAGAGGAGGGGACCATTTCCCTGCCCCCCAGAGAGGCAGACGTGGGGGAAGGAAGAGGAAATGCATGTGTGAGTGTATACGTTTTTAGAGGGAGAGTTTAGGGATTAGGCCCATAGTTTATACCTCACGCCCCTGATCCTCTTTCTCTGAAGTGATCCTGTGTAATGTTTTGTGTGTGTGTGTTCTTGTGTTTGTGGTGGGAGGAGGAGGGCAAGGAATTCTTGACCTTCATTACATTTTCAAAAGGGTTTGTGACCCCTAGGGGTTATAGACAGAGAGTTGAGGGGTCATCCTGGAGATGACTGGGATGGGTTGTTGGGGGTGCTGTGGAGTCCCTCGGGGCTCTCCCAGCACATCCCACGCCTAACAAAGCTATACTTGACCCCCTGGCGGCTCAGTGTCCTGTGAGGCTCTGGAAAGGTACTTTTTACCCTTGGCTCGAGCGCCAGGCACATAAGAGCCCTCAGCTGATTGGATGAGCAGACAGGTCCCGTCTTCTGAGAGGTGCTCTGCCGGGAAGAGTCTTGTCCCTTAGTCCTGGATGTATTTATTCTCACATGTGCATTCTGATTCTTTGCACGATCCCACCCCTGTAATTCATGGCAGGTCGCAGACAAAGCCTGCAGGGGCTGGAGAGAGTGCAGGTGGCTGAGTTGGGCCAGATACAGGAGAGCAGCTGGCGGCTGGCGCTCAGTCTCTGCCACGGGGCTGTGGTAGGCAGTGGTGAGGACCGTCATAAGCTGGGCATGTAGGTCCATGCACATGGATGCTGTTTCTCTGACCCTGCCCGCCGTTGCTTGCCCAGATGTGGGTCCAGAGTTACCAGATCTTCCAGTTTTCCAGAGGAAGCCAGATCATTTTTATGCAAAAGTTTTATGAATTTTATGTATTGACAATGAATTCATAATTTAACACTTCGCAGGCTAAACAGGACATAATTGGCTGGAAGGCAGGCTGCTGGTCTGATAGCTCTGGATAGGGCAGAATCGCATGTGTGTCTAATGGACCGGGGAGAGGTCTGGTGGAGGGCTCACTGAGGGAGACCGCCTTCCCTCTTTCAATCACCTCATCCCCTCCCCAGCCGACCAGGCCGTGGCCCCACTAGCCTGCCTTCTGTTCCTCAGACTCGTCTGGCTTCTCCAGGGTCACAGCCTTTGCATTAGCTGATGCTCTTCTGGCCTGGACGGCTCTTCCCTCTGGTGTCTGCACAGCTGCTTCCTTAGTGTTTAGCTCTCCACTTAAAGTCGAGCCCTGCAAGAGGCTTTCTCGGACCACCCGGTCACTCTACCACCTGACACGCCTTTCATCTCTGCAGACGCCTTGCCGCCCATTTGACCTTGGTGTGCGTGCATGCGTGTGTACCTGTGAGCACGTGTGTGTTCTCAGCCTAGTCTAGAATGCAAGCTTCCTAAGAACATCTCTGTTTTCTGGTCTGTTCTCTAGTGTCTAACCAATAGCTGGCACACAGCAGGCGATCAATAAGTAAAAATTGGGGGAAAGAAAATTGGTTGTGACGTATGCTTTATTTTGATGTTTTTTTCAATTAAAGTCCATAATTATAACATGCTTTTTTGTTGTTGTCATTATTTTTGACAGTTAAGAGGAAAAAAAGTTCCAAATCAGAGGCCAAGGGAACTGTATCTAAAGTCACTGGGAAAAAAATCACCAAGATCATCGGTTTGGGAAAGAAAAAGCCATCCACAGATGAGCAGACCTCCTCCGCTGAGGAAGACGTTCCCACTTGTGGTAAGACGAGGATTTACCAGACAGGAGCGATGCTCACCAAGCACGGTGTTACTCTCTCCTGGAGTGGCCTCTTATCTTGTTCATCTCGGTCTCATTAATTTGGGCTCTTTTGAAATGGGTTTGTGATCATTTGAATTGTGGGAAATATATTACATTTTTACGCGTTTACTGCTTATTAGTAAAAGGCTTTGCAGGGGTTTGAGATGATCTCTGGGGTCTTTCAAGATGAAAAACAAATTCTGTCTTTGATCCCACGAAGTTCTCCTGAATTCCTTTAAAGCATTTTTAAACCAGAATGTATGCATGTGCATTGGCAAGTGGAGGTGGCATACAAAGTACAGCAGAGCATTTATGGAATTAAGATCAGTCTTTCCCTTGGGCTAAAGTAATAAAACTAAACTCTCTTGTAATGCTCCATTTCTCAAACTTAAGTTTCAAATCCAGCATAACTGATTGACTGTCTCCGCTCCTCAATCTGTCACCCAATGAGTGTTTTCTGAGCAGCTGCTATTTGTCAGGCCTGTGTTAGCACGTGGTATGCGGTGGTGACCAGGATGCTCTCTGCCTCCTGGCACTTCCAGTCTCGTAGCAAAAGATGGGTCTGGAGCAAGGAATGCCACAGATTAAATGTGATAACTAACTCTGATCACTACGGTGAGAGAGTCTGACAGGGACCTAGGAGAGACCGAGCAACTGTCAGGGACAGCCTCTGTGGGTAAGTGAGATTTTACGTATGATGTTTCCTATGCAAGCAGTTTTGGAAAAACCATGCAGCTCTTTTAAGGAGAAAAACTTTAGAAGTTGAAAGATGGATATTTACCTTTTTTTAAAAATTAAAAATGGGCTGTAATGTTCCTTGTATACTACAGCTGCACATTCAGCTTGGCATTGATGTAAATCTCAGAATTTCTTTTATTTGTAGCATCACTCAGTTTACCTCTCTGTCTTTCTCTCTCTCAATGAGTATTCGTCCTGTCCAAGGTCTTGGGTTTCATTTGGAGGATACCAAAAGATACCTCATTTAGATGCTGCCCAGTAGTGCCTAAGTTGAGCCATACACACGAAGATGACTTTATTGAGCAGATATCATGTCCCAGGCTGTGAGCTTGTGCTCAAAGGAAAGGAGGAAGAGACAGAGCTGTGGTGGCTGGGGGGAGGGGTAGACTGCAAAGGGCCGGGCTGGGAGGAGCCAGCTTTGTGCTGCACCTGGAGGGGAAAGCAAGGTGGATTCTTAGCCTCTTTCTAGCTCTCACAGTTCTGATTCTAGGAAGTTCCATGATAGAGCTTTTGGTGGACAAAAGTACAAAAAAACACAGCGATGTCCTCCGTCAACCCTTGGCAACCCTGGGTGGTTGTGCAGAAGTGCACGTGGAATGCAGGTCGGCTGGGCAGACAGCGGTGAAGGCCCTGGTTGAGGGTGTCATCTTGGAGAGGTCCCACTGAAGGGGCTGCCTGTAGGTTGAGTTAGGAGGGAAGGTGATGACACCAAAAGGAGACCAAGCACCTAGGGGCCCTGTGCACTCAGAGGTCCCTGATCTTGTCCCTAGTCAGATGGCAGCTGGGGCACAGAAGTGGGCTGACTGATGTTCTTTCCACTGCCCTACTTTCCTTTCGTAATCAAAAGGAAAGAACCACTCCCTGGCAGAAATTAAACCAGGTGAAGCAGAGTTTTAGCTTGGAGGGGCAGAGGGAAAGATGAATTTGTTGATGCCATGGTGCTGTTTCCTCTTGGCTTCTGCCTTTCTTGGAGCAACAAACAGCACTTGGTGCTGTGGGATTGTCTGCCCTCTTGCATTCGCCCTGGAGAGGAGATAGGAGTTAGGGATTAAAAATGGGAAGAGGGAATCATCCAACAAAAGGTGAACTACTTTTTAGCTTTGTTTTTGTTTTTAAAACTGCTCTAGGTCAGTGGAGGAAATAGAGATTCTTTCATGAAAAACAATTAAACCTTCATGTGGAAGGCAGCTTGAAGTCTGTGGTCTAGAAGCCTCGTTTTACAAAGGAGAACATGAAAGTCAGGAAGGTGTGTGTCTTGCTCTGAGGCCCACAGCCAGCTGAGGGCAGACCCGGTCTGCTGACCCAACTCTGTGGACTCCCTGTAGCATGTGCCTTTTCCACATCCCTTCATGTCCCCAAGGACTCACCCCATTCATAACTCCTACTAAACAGCTTTATTTGTGTTGTGATCAGACACTGCAGTAAATCCTGTTGGGCACTTTCTTGGAAACACAGTTCCTCATTCAGAGAGCAAGGAGTGGTGTATCTACCTGTAATTATGCACATGTGGATTTCTATCAGACTGCTTAGTGGGCATCTTTTGCCTCTATTGAGAGAACATCCTCTGTCTGTAACATTTTAAAATTGTCCTCTAGTTCTTTGCTGGGACAAGGTGACGGGGAGGAGTCTGTAGAGAAATAAAGGGGGGAAATGACTATTTTCGATTACTTTAGTACAGCTGCAAAGTTTCAGACAGAAAAAGGAGCTGGATAAAGGCCCAAGACCCCCGTCCTGCCAAGTGGAGTCCCTACGGCTGCTACCCTTGCGCTGCGGGGAGGGGAGGTGCAGAGCAGGATGGGCCGGAAGGGGCAGCTCAGCCCACAGAAGAGCTCCCAAGGGCAACTGAGAGCCAGTGCAGATCCCAGCTCTCCTGGGAAATGCAGCCTGCTCGGCTGGGCTTCTGGATGCATAATAAAAATGCCAGGGGATGGGTAGAAGGTGGCTTTCTACAGGTGCTCCACAGGTGAGGGAGAGGGAGGAGCTGAAGCCAGCCCTGCGACCACTCGTCACTGCCCTGTGTCCTTCCTCTCCTGAGGCTGCGCAGTGGTACGGTTAGCATCAGCTGGGTCTGCTCTGCAGATGGGCACTGGAGGAGGTGGTCTGGGACATACACAGACCTCTAAGCAAAGAAGGACCCTTTATTTGCCCTTCTCTGGTGCTTACAAGTCCTGAAAATATTGTCACTTTATAAATTCAGCTGTTGTTATCAAGGAATGCATTTCAGTTTTTTCCTCTCTTCTTTATCCCCATTTCTATCTGTTGTTTGGACTGGTACTCAAGACTCTTGACTGGCCTGCCTTTTAGTCTGTATGCCTCCGGGCCACCAGATGGAAGTTCTGAAACCTTGAAACTAATCGTATCATCCTCTGTTAAACAAGGTCTCTCCTGCTGCTCAATTCAGGGCCTCTAATAATCTTGTTTCAACTTAATTTTCCAACTTTTTCTCTTACATTACTGGATTAAGATTCAGGTCTAATTCCCTCGCCAGTTGTGTCCCCAGTACCTAGCAGAGCCTGGCAGATAGTAGCAACTCAATGGAGACCTGTTGACTGAATGAATTACCTTAAGCAAATTGCATACCCTTTCTGAGCCTCAGATTTTTCATCTATGAAAAGGGGTCAATACTTAAATTGCTTTGTTTTCTAAAAATTGAAGATAAAATACATGAAACCCTAAGCTCAATGTGTAGCTCGTAATTTCTGCTCAGTAAATGGTCACTAGCATTATTCATTTGTCTTCCTGGCCTGCTTTTCTTTGTAAAACACCTAAACAACCAGACATGTCCACAGCAACGTAAGGTGAGTGGCACAGATGATAAGGAGTATAGAAGCTGAGAGAAAGGAGAGGTCCCCAGGTGCTAGGATGGAGGGCTGTGTGAAGTCAGGACAGCCTAAGTGAGTTTGAAGGGCTTCCTGATATTCTGGGGTCCCTTCGAGCTCTAGTGTTCTGTGACTTGGTGAAGTCTTCAACAGTAGGATTTCCTCGTGCACGTACAGGACAGTTACGTACCTCTCGCTCTATCAGAATCCGCCCCATCAAGATGAGGTGACATTTAATCGAGGGAAGGAAGTGTTCTTCATGCAGGGGTGTCGGCATGCAGGATTCTTGGCGCGTGTGCCTGTCAGAGGAGACGTGCCCACGGTGGGAAGGGAGGTGTTTTGGCGTCAGCAGGCCTGGGACCAGCTGCTGGCAGTGTCTCCACTCTTGGTGTCCCCTCCCCCACCACACTGCTTTGCCGCTGCTCGATGCCCCTTTCCCAGGCATCTCCTCTCAGCTGATTACAGACCAAACTTTCCAAGATGAAACGAGCATTCACTGGGATCAAACTCCTCTCAAAACTGCGACCAAAACACAGGAGCCTCTCAGGCACACCCCACTCTTGCTCGTCCTAAAGAGAAGAAATTGGTGGACGCTTGGGCCCGCTCATGCCAGGCTGCCCCTGCCTGCTCTTCTGCAGCTGCTTGGGTCTGAGAGCCACCTGGCACTGAAGGAGGCCGGATACCCCAACAGCTGAATGTGGAAGCGTCTGTTTGTCCCCTCCTCCTGTGGTTTTGTTTGTTTCATCTCAGGGCTATCAAGTTAGTTTCATAGTTCTCATGAAACCTCGTGCACTCTTGCATTGGTTTTGTAAGAAACCTTAGAGTTCTTTCTTTAGAATTCAGAGTAAAAATAATCTCAAAACATCAAACTGGAATGCCCAAATTGTTAAGGCACAGTAATATCCCATCATAATGTGATAAGTAGGATTCAAAAAAAAAAAAGCAAATTACACATGGAATTGCCTTGGTATGCAATTCATTGAAATGAGCCAGGTGAGCCTTGAACCTGGTCAGCCATGTTCTTGCGGAGGGATCCCAGTCCCGCTAGGCTTGGTTGCACTTCGGCACCACCTGGTGGTGGGTGTCTGCTCCAGCTGGAGGGGTCGTGGGGATGACTGGGCTCCTGTGTCAGCTCTGACTCCACCAGCTGGACTAGAGGTGTGGGGTTGGGAGAATATTAGGGGACACGGGCCCTGCCCTCTGCCTCCACATTCGTTAGATGGGTTGTCTGCCGTTTCCCTGCGTGGCCTCTCCCTCATCTCCGTGTTCTCTACGCAGAAAACAGGAACTTTAGGCCACCCCCTTTTGAGAAGAGTGGAGGGCAGTGAGCCTGGCAGGAGCGGAAGCTGCCAGGAGTGAACATGTTACTGTCGAGTTGGCTGTAGAAACAGGCTGTTATCCACTGTGCCTCTCTCCTTGCTTTTCCCTTTTGGGAACTGTAAATAAATCTGAGGAAGCCGTTAAAATTTGGTAATTTCATATGAAGTCATGCTCTAGATAAAATGTGAATCTGTCCAATATAATCACTCCTTTTATGACTCAAATGTCAGGAAATTCATAGCACTTGGTGACTCCTGGCCAGATCCGGTCAGGGAAGAAAGCACCCTGCTAGTCCCTTCACCTCTTCAGGAGGTGTGCCGTCCACTTGGTTGTGGAGCGGACTCGGGTACTGCTGTCCCCTGTGCTGCACGGCAGTGCACTTGAGGAGTACACCATGTGGTGATTCTAAAACTAGAAAGTCGTGTGGAAGTTTAGAGGAATATGGTCACTGTTATTGAGGCAGATATGCCGTTAGGTCTTCTGCTTATTGCTTAAATTCCTCAAGAAATGTTGTGGCATCTTACTTCCCCATCACAGGTCCCTGTCATCTTCTGCGTCAGGGCCAGGTCCCCACGATAGTTTCCGAGGTTTCTGTAATCAGGTCACTGGATGTTTCAGTCTTCGTTCCTTCTGCTGCCCTTCTCCAGTGAGATCTCCTTCCTTCTGCAGGCTATGGAAATGCCCCCACTGCTCAGGGCCCCGCTGAGGAGCGCCTCGCCCACGGCACCCCTCCAGACAACACGTAGGCTTCCCTCTGCCGGCTCCGCTCGGGACCCTAGAGCTCAGTGCTGCTCTGCGGAGATTGTTTTCTGTATTGACCTGTGTGCCCACGGAGATCAAGTTACTCAAGAGCAGTTCCGTGTCTTCCGTTCTTTTTAGGTACACCGCCACGTTGTCTCTAGGCCACATGTGTCGATTCATGCTCGGAGACTGGTTAGGATGGATGCAGTCAGCAGTCATTCCATAAAAGTCCAAAAAAGTGGGCTTTCAGCATGATTAATTACTTATAGATGGTACTAGAGTCATAACTGTTAAATAGTTCGGATAGCCATTACTCAGATGTTCAGATATTATAGTTGACTATATGTTTTTAACTAGAGCTTTCTTTTTTCCCCCAAGAATAAATGTATCAGAACTATGTCATTTCCAAATAGTATTTTACAGAATGAAAATCATAATGTGAGCTCCACAGCTGTGTTCAGAATAACAGCTTTTTATCTGCCATCTTTAACTCTCAAAAGCACCTCAGGCCAGGCTTTGCCGGGTGGTGTTGAACGAGACGTTCCTGTAACGAGCAAGCCTCCTCCTTCGTCACATGAACCCTCGAGCCCTAGTCTGCCGCTCCGCTTCTCTTCCCTCCCTCCAGTCCCTCCTGAGTGTGTGCAATTCCAGGCACTCCATCCCAGGCACCAGGGCGGCGGGCTTGTTTCTCCACCTTCTCTGTTATTGCACAAGTACAGCAACTCACGCCCCAAACGAAAGCTTCAGTTCCAGAAGAACCAGTGTATACCCTTTTGTTTAGGGTATATTGGTAGAACTTATGTCACATTTAGCCAAATGAAAATTTAAACGTTATAAGTGTTTACCTAGTAAATTCGTTGAGCAGCTATTTATATGTAATATATAAAGCATCATTCTGGGCCCTGTAACATACCTATTTGAGTGTTTTGTTTTGTTGTCTTTATAGCATTTATCCATCGCTAATAAAGTGTGTAAGACTTAACATAAATAAGTAAAAACCTCTGTCAAAACCCTTTTGGAAAGGCATTTTTAAAAATCATGACTGGAAAGAATTTATTTTGTTTTCTTTTTGAGCCTCACGTGTAAACGAATTGAAAGAGCAGCTGAATGACTTAAGGAGTCCTTGTTTCATTTCTTCCTTTTTGACCGCGTTTTATGTTAAGTTACTTTCTAAATCTTAAAGGAGGGGGGCGGTAATTCACTAGCATTATGGAGTGGTTACAAGTCACAGCCACCCTGTGAAATCTATTTCTCATGCCTTGTTATTTCTAGAAAAATATGCTTTATGTTTATGACAAATGAAAGTCATCAGTTTCTTGTATTTGAAGAGATTTCCTTTTTTTAAAATGAGGTTAGGGCTGGCCCCGTGGCTTGGCGGTTAAGTGTGCGCGCTCCGCTACTGGCGGCCTGGGTTCGGATCCCAGGCGTGCACCGACGCACCGCTTCTCCGGCCATGCTGCGGCCGCGTCCTGCATACAGCAACTAGAAGGATGTGCAACTACGACATACAACTATCTAGTGGGGCTTTGGGGAAAAAAAGGAGGAGGATTGGCAATAGATGTTAGCTCAGAGCCGGTCTTCCTCAGCAAAAAGAGGAGGATTAGCATGGATGTTAGCTCAGGGCTGATCTTCCTCACAAAAAAAATAATAATAATAAAAAAAATGAGGTTAATTCTTCCTGTATTACCATCACATGTGAATATATGTATATATCTTTAATATACTGAAGATATCATGTAGCATCAGAGAGATGAATGACGAAATTTCATACACATTCAGACTCAGGAGTTTAGAACTCATGTGGGCTGAAGGTCACTGAGTGCATCTTTGGCCTCTGGGTAGGACTCTCATACCAAGGACCTTCCATCATTTGCGGGAATACTTTCAGTGGTGGGATACTTGTCACCTCCCAAGGCCTCCTATTCCTTGGAAAGCTTTCGTTTTGGGAGAGTTTTTTCCTCATGTGAAGCCAGAATCTGCCTTTCTGTAACTTTTGCCCTAGTTGTGTCATTCACAGCTTCTCACAATGAATCTACATCCTTTTCTGTGTGATTTGAGGACGGTTTCGTGTCCTCATTTCCTTCTCGCCATCCAAACACCGGTGGCTTAGTGACCTTTACATACTCCAGGCCAACTCCAGATTCCCACAGAAATGTGAAACGTCTGGTAACTGGTTCTTAGCACACATTACACATCACGTTGGTACCAGGCTGGGTGGGACTGAGGTCCCGGGTGACACCCGGCCCTTGGTGTGGGTTCTTTACCTCATGCAGGAAAGAATTCAAGAGCAGATCAGGAGATATTATGCAAGTTTATTGAGAGACAGAAGCCAGGCTGATTAGAAAGAAACTGAGGAAGGAAATCGGGCCAGGCTGACTGGGTAGAAACTGACCGACCAGCCCCGAGTGGCAGTCTGGGTGCTGATTTATAGTGGTTGAAGTGGGCAGCTGGGGATTGGTCAGTTTGAAGTGGGGAGTCGGGTTGGCAGCTGGGGACTGGTCAGTCTCCAGGCCAGGCCGCCATCTCCTGCAGGCCAGGCGCCAAGCTCATGATCAGACCGCTGATTGGCTAGGCAAGGGGAGGGGGTGTTTGGGCAAGGGGAGGGGGATGTTCGCGGAGCATGGAGTTCCTGGAACTTGTGAGTCGCCGGAGACGTTAATCCCGGATGCCGGGTGACAGCTGCCTCCTGCTGCTGCGCTGCCTGCTGCTCCAGAGACAGTTCTCGGTTCTGCCTTTCCCCGTCTCAGTGTTACATTAGGGGCTTCTGCTATGGTCTGTGCTGTCTTATGAAAAACCCTGAAAGCTTATTTGAAAATTAGCCATATTGTAGTGGTGGCTCTTCTTGTTGATATGAATTTGCATTAAAAAATGTGGTGTCTGAGGGATTTGTTTCATACGTGCTGCCTTCACTGGCTCCTCTAATGAGACTCTAAACCTGGATCCATCAGTCGTCTTCACCAGCACCTTGTCTTTTCTTGAGATTCTCAGATCGGCCTTTGTCTCGTTGTAGGCTACCTGAATGTGCTCTCCAACAACCGCTGGCGGGAGCGCTGGTGCCGAGTGAAGGATAATAAGCTCATTTTCCACAAGGACAGGACCGATCTCAAGACCCATATCGTCTCTATTCCTCTCCGGGGCTGTGAGGTGATCCCGGGACTGGATTCCAAACACCCCCTGACGTTCCGGCTGCTTCGCAATGGACAGGAGGTTGCTGTGCTGGAGGTAGGGTGTCGCCCGAGGCCACCCCTCACGGCTTCAGGTGGTGATTCTCCCTCTGGAAGCCACTGCTGACTCCGCGCTCTGAATTCTTCACACCTGGCCAAGAACACCTCTGTTCTGAGTGGTGTGCTTTCCCTCACTTTGCCCATCGTGTTAGTCTCTGCTTTGCTTCTCGCGCCTCCTCGTTCTGCGGGGTTCTGACAGTGCAGACAGCACAGCGCCCGTTTTTACTAAATTGTACGTGTCAGGCTTGTCTGCCAGATTACCTCCTTGCTGCATTTCCTCTCTGTACGTGTTTGTGTGAAAATTGAATACATAATTCCATACAGTAGATTGCTTTTTAAGAGTGGCCAGAAAATAACTTATTTTAAAATTTCCAGTAAAACCTTTTTCCCTAATATAGTCTACCTTTGAAGTGGCAGTGTTTCCTTTAACTCGTCCTTCAAAATGTTCTTGACTTCTTTATGGAACAGGTGTTTATAGACCAACTAGTTGCCTTACAGACAGTGGCCAGTGAACCAGATTACATGGAAACCAAAAGAACACCTTTGGTTTTTAAGAGCCCTTGGCTTTGCGTGCATTTTATTATTTGTTTGGCTGCTTTACTAGAACTTCGTATTCACTAAAGCAGAAAACGGCGATTAAAACTAATTTCTTAGCTTCATACTTAAAACTTTTATTTTTGAAAGTTTTAATGTTTATTTTTCATCTGTTATATTATTATTTTCTACTCAATACTAATTCAGACCTTTTTTCCTTTGTCTTTTTTTTCCACTTAGCATTGTCATGATTAAGATGCAGAGAGACACACATGCAAACATATATCCACGTCTACACAAATATCAGATTGTAGAATTTCCAGAGGACACGTAAGCATATTTATGCTGCATAGTTGATAGAAATGAGGATGTATTAGCTTTGGTGGAGTGGCTGATGTGTGTTCTAAATTAATCAGACGTGGAGCCAAATTCTAACTGGGTGTAGTGATACTGATCAGTGGAGGAACGAGCATGGGGCTGTGACCAGGATCGAGTGGGCCCAGGCAGGCAATCCAGAAGGTCATGGTAGGCGATAGGAATTTGCTTCAGAGACTATTTTCAGAGAAACTCCTTTTTTTGTTGCCAGCAAAAAAAGGTTGGCAATATGCTTCTTCCTCCCGCAGGGCTCGTCCCCGAGTAGATTGTGATCACGGTCAGCAGGACTGACCGCTCCTCCCGAGGTGCTGGCTTTGGAGCATGTGACTTCGCAGCAAGACACAGGCCAGGTTGGAGTCAGGAGATCTGGGTCCCGGTCGTAGTTCTGTCGCACACTTTGATCACACCAAACCTTTGTTTCTCTCTCGGCTTCTTTATTCATCTGTAAAATGTGAGCAGTGGACTGGAACCAGGGTGCTTTATAAGCCTTTCTGTGGGCTGAAAACTCTCGGGGGGCATGGCAGTGCAGGAAAGCTGAAAGTGTAGGTAAGAAACTGTGCTCCTGATAGAAAACAACGAGAGAGCTCTGGCAGCAGATCTGAGAGCGGGCGCGCCCGAGAGAGAAGGCGTGAACTTGCACGCTGGACACAGGAGTGGAGAGTGAGGGGCTGAGGCTGGAGTCTGAGAGGAACCCCGAGGCTGGCGTAGGGCAGAGATAGGGAGGGGCTTGGCGAGGAAGTGTCCTGTCCTGCCTTTGCTCCCAGTGTTGTCGGTGCCGCCTCAATCCTTGAGGGAGTGGTGGGGTTCACTGCCTTCTGCAATGCTTAGAGCTCTGCTCGGTTCCCTGAATCACAGCAGGATTTGAGATTGAACCAGTATCATTCGATGTTCAGACAAGTTTTTTGTAAGTGTAAAAGTGACTTAAGCAAGCTTTGTTGAAGTCCTTCTTCCATATTCCAGTCATTACATCAAACAAACACACACACAAACAAAAAAGACCACACAGCATTCGACATAAGCAGAGTTCTGCCTTAATCAGTAATGAGATGCACTGAGCCAGCCAATAACATTGTAATCTGTACGTTTTCTAAGATCATTTTATTTTAACTTTGTTTTGAGATAATTTCAGAATTATAGAAAAGTTGAGAGAATAGTAAAAAGAATTCTCATATGTCCATCACTCGTATTCCCCAAATATTAACATTTTACCGTGTTCGATATCTCTTGTGTGCTCTCTCTGTCTCTGTTTCTCTCTCTCTGTATCAAGTTTTTCAGAATCTTTTACAGACATGTTGCCCCTTCTCCCTAAATACTTCAATGGGTATTTGCTAAACACAAGAGCGTTCCCTTACCAAAACCACAGGATAATTATCAAAATCAGGAAATTAACATTCATATAATACTATTATCTGATTCATAGATCTTAATCAGATTTGCCCAATGATGTCGCTTGTGAGCAGAAGGAAATCCCAGGTCACATTTTGCATTCAGCTGCAGTTCTCTTTAGCTTTCTCTGTCTGGTTTTATGACATTGATCCTTGTGAAGGGTACAGACCAGTTATTGTGCAGAAGGTCCCTCTGTTTGGGATGTCTGCTGTGTCCTTACAGTTAGAATCCGGGTGGGCATCCTTGGCAGGAGCCCGAGGGAGGCAGCAGCAGTGTGTTTGCAGTGCCTCACATCAGCAGGCATACCTGTCAGGCTGTCCCACTCCTAGTGATGTTAACTCTGATCCCTTGGGTAGGGTGTCTGCACAGCTTCCCCACTGCAAAGTTACTGTGTTTTCCCTTTGTCTTTAATAAGCGTCATGTGGGGAGATACCTGGAGATTATGTAAGTATCCTGTTATCACTCACAATTTCACCCACTAATTTCAGCATCCCTTAGTGACTCTTGCCTGGAACAATCATTATAATGACAGTTGCTGAATGGGGACATTCTAATTCCACCATTCCTTCTACACTTAAGTTAGCGTCTACTATAAGGAAGATTTTCCTTTCCTCCCATTTAATTAATTATTCATTCATTTATGAATCAGCGGGGATTCATAGGTTATTATTTTAATCAATGATTATAATCCTTTATTGTCATGATATATTTTGGTCAAATTATCGGATTTGGTCAGCAAAAGGCCCTTGGATCTGGCTCTTGTATCCTTTGCTATGTTCCTGTAATAAAGAGACCATGGCCCCCATCATTCTTTGAGCACTTTTCTTATATTGTGATACAATAAGATGTTCCAGGCTTATCTTATACTTTTCCCTGTCCCAGGCCTCTTGGAGTCAGCCATTTCTCCAAAGAGCTCTTAGTGGATTCCTCCTGCTGGATGATGGTATTTGGAAACCAGGATCTAGGCAGAAGGCATGATCATAGTCACTGGGGTGTTATTGCTTCTGGGCTTTTCCAGTAGTCAAACATGGGACATAGATGTGTGTGTGTGCATGCACATACACGTATTCACAGGTGTTTATATGTTATACACATGACGTGTATTTATAAGTGTTTATATACATGTGTGTATACACCCACATCTGTATTTCTATATTAAAAGCCACGAGATCATAACTAATACCTCTAATTTCAGTCCAACACCATAGGATTATTTAAAAAAAAACTATGAGGAAATTTCTTAAAGTGAACTATGAAGAAAACAATTAATAAACTCTAGTGTAATTCTATCAATCACATCTTACATATTGTGTTAAAATACTTTAAAACATGCTTAGATAAAATAGTTATAGATACATAAATATCAATTCAGTCATAGATACATTCTTAATATAGATTTTGTTTTAGGGAGGACAAAAGACCAGTGAAGAGAGCACATTTGTGATTTTTTTTTAATCCAAGTATTCAAATCCATTCATGTTAATGTAGCAAACACTGGTTACATTATTACTCTCTGGCAGGCACATAGTTGGAATCCATTCCCTTTGTCCTGATGGCCTCATTCCATGTGGGTTAGGAATGGTTTGTTACTTGTACAGTATTGCTAGCCAATTTTATCAACACATGTAAAACAACTTCTCCCTTGTTTGTGGCTCTTGGACTATTTACACTTACTGTATTCTGATCAGTGTTCAACTTGTCAAGGTTGTAATGATAAAACCCAATTTTCTTTATGTTTTTAAGCTAAACTTACAGATTTTTCTTTATATAAAAATTTGTAATTTTTACAAAAAATAAAAAATTTGTTTTCTCTTCGACATTCAGTTAGCTCATACATTTGATAGCCTAGTTTCCCCTAAACTTTAAAATTATTTGCATATTGATTAATCAAATGTATTTCGACATTTAAAATACCATTATAAATGTAATGTAATTGATTTTCTAAATCACATAACAAGGATGGCATAAAAATTTAATGAACAGAATCTTAATGATATATTTCAGATTTGCAAATGAAGCAGGTCAATTTGGGGTGGAGGAACATTTCAAACATCTTAAAGAGTACTGTGCACAAAGCAGCCCAATGACTATAAACGTTATTACACCTATATAAACACAGCTAGTACAAAAGCAAGTTAATTTTTGTACCATCTAACCAAGGGAGATAAAGTTGCCATTTCAGGCCCATTTAGGAGGCCAAAACAAAGGTGAGTGGTGACCAAAGTTGGAGACCCACAGAGGCACAGGCCTGATGCATTTCCCAGGTTAGGCCAGCCACGGTTGGGGGGACTCCTTTTTCTGGCCAATTTTGTTGCCAAATTAAGGAGGTTTTCTAAACAACTTCTTTAGCTGAGATTTAACTAATCACATTTATTTCCATGTCTTATGCCCTAGTGCCTTTCCCCCAAATAATTGGAAGGCCTTTTAGGCCCTCAGATTTTTATTTCCCTGGGTATGGTCATTATGTAACCTCCTCATTAAGGCTCCTGTGAGTGTGGTGTTAATCCCATCACTCGGGCGGTGGCTGTGCCTTCTTTCTCCTTTATCCTCCTTCTGTACTTCACGATTCACCACCTTTCCTCTCATGTCTTCTCTTTATTGACAGAGGGAAATGTTCAAGCTCTTTACCATTACTTAGAGGAAATGTACTTCTTTTCTCTTCACCTCAACAGGCCTCTTCTTCTGAAGACATGGGCAGATGGATTGGAATCTTGCTGGCTGAGACGGGGTCCTCCACAGACCCCGGGGCTCTGCACTACGACTACATAGATGTGGAGACATCCGCAAATGTCATTCAGACAGCCAAGCAAACCTTCTGGTAAGATCCGTTTCCGTGTGAAATGGCACTAAAGTTATACAGCTGTATTTTTTCCCTAATTCTTTTACTTTTTGTTTGAGCATGTAGCCTCAGGGGGGGAAAACAACTGAAGACTCTCCCTTTTGTATTGTATTAATCCAAACTTTGCTGAAATATTTGTCATTTCAACCCTCTGTGTTTTCTATTAGACCAGGGGTTGGCAAACTTTCTCTGTAAAAGGCGAGAGTAAATACTTTTGGCTTTTTAGGCCAAATGTTCTCTGTTATAACTGCTCAGCTCTGCCATCGCACTCATACACAAGACGTAAATGAATGGGCGTGGCTGTGTTCCAGTAGAGCTTTATTTACAAAAATAGGCAGTGGGCCAGTTGTGGCCCTTGGGCTGTACTTTGCCGACCCCTGTATTAGGGGAAGAGTTCTGTGAAACAGAAAGAACTCTACATATTGCTGCAGTGAGGACTGAGTTTTCAAAGCTATCAGTCATGTACTTCTCAAACTTAAATTGCGAGTTTTTTAAAAAAAAGATTGTTATGTATGGAAACATTTTCTTGAACTGTGAGCATCTCTTCACCGTAACGGTGGCAAAGATAATTACAGCGGCCGTTCTTGAGGTGCGGTCCACAGACCCCTGGGGGTATTCAAGACCCTTTCAGGCAGTCCAGAGGTCAAAACTATTTTCATAATAATACTAGGAAATTATTTTCCACCTTCTCTGTTGTGACATTTGCATCAACGGTCCAAAAGCAACGGTGGGTGAATTGGCTGGCGACTTGGCACAAATAGTAGTCGCACCACACTGTGCTGTGATCACGGCGTTCGTTACCGCCACACACGTGCAGTAAAAGAAATTGCTGCCTTCACTTAAGATGCCCTCGATGAAGCGGTAATAATTACCTTTTCAACAGGAAAGGGCCAGATAGTAAACATTTTTGTTAAGCCTCTTGAGTATGTCTTTTAGTCTTGGCGTGATGTGATGAGGGGGACAATAAGCACTTTCTGAGCTAGTGTGTTGCTTTGAGGAACAGCACTTGTACTGGTGAGTCGCTAACTGAACACTTTTCCCCTCATTTTTCCATTTTTACTTGAAAAACAGTGACAGACACACTATGGTTATTCAGACTTCGGTATTTGCAGACATTTTTTGAACATGAACTAAGTGAGACTGTCATCTCAAGGAACATAATTGCCAGCATCGTTGCCTGTGATACGGGTTGAACTTTCACTCAGAAATCAGAGTTTTGGAAAATTTGTATCGTGCCAAGTCACCAGCCTATTCACCCACCATTGCTTTTGCACCATTGATGCAAATGTCACAACAGGGAGGAAGGGAAATGATTTCCTAGTATTATTATGAAAATAGTTTTGACCTCTGGACTGCCTGAAAGGGACTTGAACATCCCCAGGGGTCTCTGGACCGCACCTCAAGAACGGCCGCTGTAATTATCTTTGCCCTCGTCACAGTGAGGAGATGCTCCCAGTTCAAGAAAATGTTTCCACACATACCAATCTTGTTTTAAAAGAACTGACTGACAGCTGTGAACTGACAGCTTCCCAGCACTTACAGACTTTTCTGATAAGATCAGTGGTGATATTGAGTGTGATTCTTTTGATATTGTGTGAGGAAGTATGTCAACATTTGAAAGAGATGCAAAAGTCACGTGTGGGTCAAAGGTCTATTCCACGTGCAAGATAAACTAATGAGTGCTAATGTAAAAGAGGACAAAAAGTTCATTGGTAGAATTTCAGACTCTACATTGCAACTAATCATTGAGAAACGGCCACTTGTCGAGTTTTGGTGGTGTAACACAGACGTAATAACTACAACTCTCTGAAAAAGCTATTAAAATACCCCTCGCTTTCCAACTACATGTCTGTGTGAGGCTGGATTTTCCTCAGGTGCTTCGACAAGGCAGCGTTTGGTCGTGGTTTGAATGTAGAGCCAGTGTGGGAGTCCAGCTATCTTCTGTTACGCCAGATGTTAAACACATTTACACACATGTTCAACATGCTTTTCTCACTACTTGTTTTTAATTTTGGAAATATGGTTATTTTTCTTAAAAATATGTTAATATGATGGATTTTTTCCTGTTATTCTAAAATGAATAAAAATGAGTATATTTCTGAGGTTTAATTTCAAATACAGTAAATATTGATAATTCACACCCACATAAACAAAAGCTTTTGGGGGTCTTCAGTAATTGTTAAGAATGTAAAGACAAACGTTTGAGGATCACTGATTTATGGGACTGAATTAGGGAACGTAGGAAATGGCTGGTTCATGCTCCACCCTCTCCGCTGTCTAAAGCAGGAGTTGGCCAACTCTTTCTGTAAAGGGCAAGATAGTGGCTGTTCTCAGCTTTGCAGACCGTGTGTTCTCCATCGTAACAACTCCTCTTGCTGCGACTCCTCGACTCTGCTGCCCTGCAGAAGCAGCCAGATGATCCGGAAACCAGTCGGTGTGGCCGTGCTTGACGGGAGCGTGCAGATCCTTGTCTAACGCTGTGCCGTGGGGTACAAGGGGAAGAGCGCTGGACTGGGAGGAGGGAAGTCAGGTCTGGCTCTGCTGTAGTGTTTACTAAATGGGGAATTTTGGACAAGCCATTCTTAACCTTTCAGTGTCTCAGCTTCCTGGAGTAGAAAATGCAGGAGTCAGACTAGACGATGTCTGAAACGTCCTCTGCTCTAATGTCTCTGATCCCTTGACTCCTGCTTCTACTTCCCATGTCCTTAGAGAGTCTGGATGTGGGGCTGAAGAGAGGTGAATTGAAACAAAACTGGTGATGGAATTATGTAATCGGCAAGTGACAATAAACATACCAGCAACTGTTGGCAGACCTGCCAGTGCTAAGACCGTGAAACCCTTTGAGTGTGAAGAGGATAAACTCGGATGTTTTCACCGTTATTTACGTATTTAATATGAACACCATCATCTAGGTTTTCCACACAAGTGGTGTTTCTGGGGAATTTGAGCAGTCTTCTTGGAACATGAACATTTGAGAATGAACATTTATTTAATGCTTGACTAGGAAATTCCGGGGCTAAGTAAAGTAAAGATGACTTTGGCCCATATTATGAATCAAGCCACCATGTTACACCCAACTAAGGTAAATAGCCTTGACAAAATGAATTCATCTTGTACAACTTTGCCAGAAAATCTCCGGTAATGCTAGAGGTTTTCTCAAGTATAAACTACCTGTTCTGACCACTGTTCTTTGTGTGAAAATCAGGATGACATAGTCAAATACTGACCTGTTTATATTATTTTCCCCTATAACATTCCATCTAATCAGCAAAATTATAATGAATCTCTTAATCATTCAGTACCATGCAGTAAATAAAGCACATTTAAAGTGGCTTTTTAAAGAAATGTAGGGGCCGGCCCGGTGGCGCAAGCGGTTAAGTGTGCGTGCTCTGCTGCGGCGGCCCGGGGTTTGCCAGTTCGGATCCCAGATGCGCACTGACGCACCACTTGGCAAGCCACGCTGTGGCGGCATCCCATATAAAGTGGGAGGGAGGATGGGCATGGATGTTAGCCCACGGCCAGTCTTTCTCAACAAAAAGAGGAGGATTGGCAAATGTTAGCTCAGGACCGCTCTTCCTCACACACACACAAAAAAAGTAATATCTGTAAATCAGGTTTTGCAAAATCTATACATCTAGAGTGATGTAAAAGAAAAGAGTTTATGATTGTTAACTGGTTATTTGGAAGTTATTAGATTTCCAAATGCCTCTCCTAAATCCACATGTAACTTCAACTATAATCAGCACACAGATAACCACGTTTAAGAGAAACCTTGAATAACAATATTTCCCGTAGACTACAACTTGCCTTCTACTTTCTAAATGAGTGGAATATTAATCTAAACGAAATGTGGGAAGGTCACAGTTTTTAGAAAGGAATGTAGATTGCAATATTTAAAAATTATTTATTAAAAATATGCGTGTAATGAGTTTATGGCTGCAAGAGTCTTTGCTACCTTATTAAAATATTTATAGATGTCACTTAGCAATAAAGTTTATTTTCATTTTTCAATTTTCTAGCCAAACATTCTTGGAAAATTTCAGAGATTTAACAAGGAAACATTGTTCAAAATCTAAAACATGGTATCTTGCCAGTGTGATAAATATTCTAAGAGTAAATTAATTTTTTGCCTTTATGCAAATTGGCAGCCAGTTAATGAATGTTTTCAAGGTTATTAGGGAAATTATCTGTGCATTGGATATGTCTGAGGGAGAAAGGGCGATAATATATTTTGGGAAGAAGACAGTAAAAGAAACAATAGTGATGTAAATTCTCCCAGGAAAAGTGGTATATTACGGATGTTAATAATGGTAAACAGTTGAAACATATTTTCCTGAGGCCTATTTTTAAATGAGGTATATAGATTATGTGATACAAGGGAAATGTTCTGAATTTTTCTCCTGTTACTCTTTTCAAGTCATGGGCAGTTGGAGACCCTTGAGAGAGTTATAATAATGATGATGATGGTAAATGCAGGGGTCAGTATGGACAGAGAGGGGAATAGACAGACTGACGGGAAACTGTTACCTCGAGTCACCCCCGCATTTGAATCCCTGGGAAAGTATTTTAAAATATATTCACTTAAAACGTGGATGAACCTTGAGGACATTATGCTCAGTGAAAAAAGCCAGACACAAAAGGGCACATACTGTATGATTCCACTTATATGAGGTCCCCAGAGTCATCAAATTCATGGAGACAGAAAGTGGAATAGTGGTTGCCCGGTGCTGGGGGAAGGGGGATGGGGAGTCAGTGTTTAATAGGTAGAGTTTCTGTTGGAGAAGATGGAAAAGTTCTAGAGAGGGATGGTGGTGGTGGTTGCACAACATGAGTGTACTTAATGCCCCAGGGCTGTGCACTTAAAAATGGTTAAGATGGTAAATGTTATGCGTATTTTAGCACAATATATGTATTTCGTAGGAGGTCTTATGTTTTTGGTTTAACAAATGGCGTGTGGTCTCTTATCTCATCTCCACTTTTCTGTTTAGCTAAAAACCCTATTGTAGGGAGAGCATCACGGCAGAAGACAGGGCCTGACACTTTGTCTTGGCTCTGCTCGCGCTTTAGGGCCTGGAGACTGGTTTTGGGTCCAGGTGCCTCTCTGAGATGAGAAGCAGACTGATGGGTGGCTAAGGCCTCTTCAGCTAGGACATGCTGTATGCCCGTGGCCTCTCGTTCTTACGTCCTGTGAGTCAGAAGCATCCTGCTAGCATCTGTTCTACGCGAGTAAGCTTCTGTCCTGCCGCCTTGTGGCCCCCATTCCTTCCTGCGTCTGTGCACCAGTGTGAGTGCTGTGTGCACTGGAGACACAAACCACGCAGGAGATAGTCCCTGCTGGCAGGGGGCTCCATCTACCAGGACACGTAACAGACATGTATCCACTGTCACCGTGCAGTGGTGGAGCATTGTTGCAGGGCCGCCTGGCACAGGGTCCATGTGGCCAGGGCTTTTCGTTCATTCCCTTTACTGTTTCTCACCGACAAAAAGTGTACATAGTGCCCTACCCCCAAAATACCCTCAAATGAGACGTTTAAATTAGGAAACCTTAAATATATGTTTAAAGCAAATCAAATCTCTTTCATTCTTGTATTTTGTCTTTTCCTGTACATTTTCTTTTCCTACATATACTTTTACGTATTTTAAGTATAGAGTAATCATGTACATTTTTTATCAGAAACAAGCAAGAAAAGTTATAAATTAAAGAGTGTTGTGTCTAAGGTAGACCTGGACGTGCATAGCCGTCTTCTCCCAGCAGAGGGCGGTGTGTGCGCTCTGAAATGCCCAGCGCGCTGGGAATGGAAGCCACCGACTTAGGGCTGGGACATCCTTGCAGGCCACCTCCTCTCACGCTCCGGAATCAGTAATCGGGTTAGCTGTGATGCAAGACCTCTTGTCGGAGAGGCAGTGTTCACACTTCCCTGTACCGCCCTCGCTTTTTTCACTCTCTTCTTCATGCATCTAGTTACCATAGAAATGTAAGATCCTGCAAAGGAACAAAATTTGAAAAAATCATTTTTTTTACTCCAGGCTATTTTAGTTTCCCTAATTAGGAGAAAACGCTATCTAGGCTGCTTCTCCCTCGGCTTTTACCTTTTTACATATAACCAACATTGCTCCAGGAGGACACAGTTCACGCGCTCACACAGTCAGTGTTTGCCCAGCACCGTGTGCACCAGCACATCCTAGACGCTAGAGATGCGGGACTAGACAAACTGACCAAGGCCGTGCTCTCCTGAAGCTGCTGTCCTAGTAGGGAAAACAGACAGGAAACGCATAAGTCTGTGGTCTGTGTGGTGTGATGGGTCGTGGGAAGAAGAAGAGATAGGGGAGAGGCTAGGGCTGCAGAGGTGGGAGGTGCTGCTGTTTGTTTTGGGGAAGGCTCAGGGAAGGCTCTTAATAAAGTAACATTCCCGCTGAGACTGAAGGGAGTGAGGGGTCTCTGGGAGAAGAGCTGCTAGCAGAGGGACAGCAGGGCTCTGAGGCGGGAGGCCTGGGTGAGTGAGGGCCCTCGGGGGGCCTGACTGGCGGAGAGCGAGAGCGGGAGGGATGAGCAGGGAGGTAGCAGAGACGGGCGCTCAGAGCCTTGCAGGCCACGGCAGCACTTCGGATTGTTCTCGGAGCCACTTCAGAAGCCACCGGAGGTTTTGAGCAGAGGAGTGACGTGGTCTGGCTTGCCTCCTGAAGGACGGCACTGGCCACTGTCAGAGACTTCCAGAAGTTCAGGGAGGTGGAGGGCAGAAGGGAAGATGAGCTGCGTTGAGGTGGTAGTGACGCTGAACAAACACTGAGTGCTTGAGAAATGCTTGTTGAGTAATGTTCTGAAAATCTTAGGGGTCCACAAACTTTTCCTGAAACAGATCAGATAGTAAATACTTCAGTTTAGTGGGGCATATGGTCTCTGCCTTTGAGAGTTACCAGGCTCATGAAAGAGGCACGTAAAAAACTCAGAGCAGCCACAGGAGCGCGTAAACGCAGGGTCACAGCCCTGTTTGGTCCAACTTTATTTACAAGAACAGGCAGTGGATGGGAGCGGCCCCTGCTATAGACTGCTGATAATAAAAATTGTTGTTATTTGTGGAATACCAGTTATATGCCAGACGTTGCTTCATGTACCCAGCATGCATTGTCACCAGTCCTCGCCACGGTTCCGTAGGACGTGTGATATCCTATTTTCTGGTGAGGAGTCTTCCCCAATCACTCTACTTGAAGACCCCATTTCTGCCTAGGTCCTGTCTAATACTTCTCTGCCCCCACAGCGTCTGACAGAGAGCCCTGAGCCTCAAGTCAGAACTCATTTAACACTGGTTGATTGATTGGAGGATTTTAATTCGTTTCCTTTCTTTCAGTTTCATGAACAGGCGTGTTATATCTACTAACCCATATCTAGGGGGTACCTCCAACGGCTACGCCCACCCCAGTGGGACGGCACTGCACTACGACGACGTCCCGTGCATAGACGGCTCGGTGAGTGTGCCATCCTGACAGGAGATGCTCGTTTGTGTTAGAGGGCAAGGCGGTCCGAGAATTTCTGTGATGCAGAACCCCTGGTTTCAGTCCAAACGAGATAAGGCTTTTTTCATGCTCTGAGGCAAGATGAAAACTCCATCCCATCTCTCCTCTCCTTGTTTTTGACAAGCTGTTCATCTTAATCTGCATTTGAACTAGTAGGCGATTTGACGCCAGTAGATAGTTTGTCATTCAGTGTCAATGTCATTAATTAAATGGTTCTGCACATCCTGAAATACTGACTAGAGGATAACACATTGAAGTCTGTAACTTGGATAAAACAAAATATAACACAGTATAAGTTACCAATGAGTAGTTATTTCCCAGTGTGATAAAAATGCTGAGAAATCGCCATCAGAGAGGAAACATTGCCATAGGGGGGCGACAGTGCTGCAGACTCAAGACATGTGCCCTCCTGGTGGCTGTCACGTACCTGGGGCTCCTGATTCCTGCTCTGGTGCTGCTCGTATCTCCAGGTGTAAACCCTGCAGAGGGTTAGTGACGGCTGTGTATTAGAGCTAGCTTCCTGGTCTTTTTGGCCTTAGGAGTGTTTTGATTTGTTTTCAGTATTTTGTGTCTTAGGTGTAATTAGCAGAACTCATCAACAAATGTTGTTGTACTTTGTCTCCATATTGTTCATCTGACAACATTTATGGAGCATCTTCTCTGGGCCAGGCACTGTGCTCTCTTCTGGGCCAGCAGAGGAGAGGCCTTCAGGGTCAACAGACTCCTGCAAGGCACTCGAAAAACCGTTCTACCATTTGTCTCCCACTGTTGGGTAGATTTAAAATTGGCATCTAAGTTAAGATATGTTTCAGAAGTAGGCATAGGTATGTTTATTGTTATTTTTTCAACCTTGGAAGGTATTTTAGATTTTTTTTCTTGCTGTTTTACTTACCCATTCTTTTCTCAGTATTTTGATGGATGTCATCAATAAGCTCCCTTTTATCCATCATCATAAAATCCACACCTGCCCAGTGTGGGAACCAGGAGACCACTGCCTTCTTGAGGGAAGTGAGGGGGTCATGGCTCCCAGAGCTCAGAAACATAAGCAAAACTGAAAATAAGGTTATTGTGGTCTGGGTCAGAGGTGGCCAGCCAGTTAATCAAGAACTATGATGTCATCTGTCCCCGGGGTCTTGGCTATCTTGCTGTGAGTCTTCCTGCTGTCAGACACTCCCCACCACCCCGTCAGGCCTGCCCTGGGTTTCCTGCGGGGAGGGGCAGTCTGTCCGTGGGATCCTCACTTGATTCTAAAAAGGGACTTCATCACGTAGTCCATCCTCCTTCCCGCCTCACTTCTTCTTCTCATCCTCTCTCCCCTTCCTTCCCTCCTTACTCCTCCTTCCCTCCCTCTCCTTCCTTATTTTCTGGGTGTCTCCTAATGTCCATGCTCTGTGCTAGGGATTGAAAACAAAATGGCTAAGATAGTGCCTTTGTCCTTAAAGGGCCTCCCAGTCTAGTGGACTGAAAGAAGGAAGGTGGGGAGGAAGGCTGACTGGGGCCCTGGGCCTGGCAGGGACTTGTTCAAATGCAGATTTAGATGCACGTTAGGCTCCATGTTAGGACGTGGGTGCTAGGGTGTGAGCAGAGGCACTTTGAAATCCTTCCTGGCTGCAAACTCCATCAGACAGAGTCCTGTCTGAGTCTGGGGTGGGGTGGCAGCCGAGTCCTGCCCCACAATAAGAAAACATTAGGTCCAATCAGTCTCCTTGCCCTCTGTTCCCACTACCACCTTTGCCACTGGGATGTCAAGGGTTTGAGGGGCTCCTGGTGCCCACTATACCATAGTCTTCCACCCCTGTGAAGTGCGTGCAAGCCCACCCACTGAGGGAAAAGTCCCGTGGTGACCCTTATATAAGAGCAGGTTCTCAGTCCAGCCTCATCGTAATCACTGTGCCATTGTCGAGGGGGGCCCGCTCCCCTGACATCCCTTTGTTCTGTGCAGCCACTAGCTCCTGTTGACAGAGCAGGCTTATCCCTCATTGTAGACCCCACTGCCAAACTCCCCTTCATACGATGGTCTGCTTCTCTCAGCCTTCCATCTCAGCTGCCAACTTTTTTTGAAAGATTAACACACAAACCTATCTCTAGACCTTCCTGCCTTGAGGCCCCTTCATACACCTTTTCCTCAAAGGGATTTCCCCACATGCACACCTTCCGCCTGAAAATATCAGGGCGAGCTGAGGGGCTTAGAGAAACCACGGACCTGCACAAATACCAATCTGGTTCCCCCCGTCCCCTTCTGTTCCGATTTTTATTATGCAGGTTCTGGCCTTCCCCAGGAAGGAGCTCTCTTTACATCATTCAAAGCTTCATCTATTTTAGAAATAAAAATCTGCCCTTCTTAAAGAGCTCTGCTTCTAGGAATGGTTTCTGCGTGTACATTGCTGGGCAGGCGGTGTGAGCATTTAGGACCTAACATCCTCTCTGCAGGATTTGGGCTCCTTTGCTTGTCGGGGCTTCCTTGAAGCTCAGGCCTTTCTTAAACTGTGTTTCTACACGCTGGGTTCCGTTACCAGGTAATCTCTTTTTTGGAAGCCTTCATTGCCCGGTTTTATAAAGTTCATACTTTTTAACCCAATACCTGACATTTTAGCAGTGTTTCAACTTAGTTAATTCTTACCCAGTCAGTGTTCCCCCGATGCCTAAAGCAAGATGCAAGTGAATCTCAAAAAGGATCTTCTGATGTGCACACGTGCATGCACACACACACTTTTAATCTAGAAACTTCTATGGAGTTTCTGTTTTCTGAGTCTTCCATGTGGCTTAATTCCTTGGTATTTTAGGAAAATGATAGTCTAGTCTAGACCATTTTAATAACCCTGGGCAGACATATGCTGGGCTGTCATTATGAAATGCTCACATTCCAGTTCATCTGCATTTACCATTATTTTTAAATTATAGATGTGTCCCAAGCATCACAAAAATAGACACATCGAAGTGATTGCAAAGGAATAAAAACACTCCTCCTATGAAATTTTAAACCTTTTCTATTTTTGTAACAAAAGGCTGTAATTACAGTCTGGCAGAAGGAAACTCTGCAAGAAGGATATAAAAATAGAGTAAAATGAGCATGATATGAATTAATATTTCTCTTTTTTTGTAAATGCAAAGCAATTTATGAAGACCTTTAAAACGTAAAAGGATCTGGCTATGGTTGTTAGTTTTTGGTTTTAATTTATACTTTAATATCCATGTTCTAAAGTGGTTTGTAGCGATTTTAGTCCTTTATAAAAAGATTTTCCCCTAAAATAATGCCATTATATCAGTTGTGTTTTGAAACATCCTATTTTCAATGATGATTTGATTTCTGTCTTAACAGACTGTTTTGTTTACAGCCCATTCTTCAGGCATAACAAAGTATGGAACAGAGGTGACTGCTGACAGTCACCCATGCGACCTGAGTCACTGATGCCTGCAGGGCAGACTCGGGAGAATCCGGGGAAGTTTTCTCCAGGAGCCTGAGGCTTAGAGGCAGCATCGTGTGCAGTTCTGAGCACGGCTCTTAGAGCCGTCTGCCTCTTACCGCTATGTTTCTCTGCCTCAGTTTCCTCCCACGTCGTAAGAGTCCCATGAGAATTCCATAGTCAATATTTGTCAAGCACTTAAAACAATGTCTAGAACATAGTAGTTACTGCAAAATAAAATAACGTGCTTTGCTAGGATTGTGCCGTGCTTTCTGGGGAGAGCCAGCACTCCAGGTGTCTGGACTCCCATCCAGCATCCCTTTCCTTAGATCATATTGCTGCAGCTTTCTGGATTAGGAGGACTTCTGAAATCTGCTTCTTGAAGGAAAGAAACGTCAAATCAGTATTTTTTTTTTCTACTGTCAAAAACAGAACAAAACAAAAGCTTCATAAGCCAATGACCCTGGAACGATTTAAGGAAACAAGAAACCTTTCCTTAAGTCCCCAAAAGTGGAAAAGTTCTTTTGAATCAGTCCATCTACGTGTGTGTGTTATTGGTAACAACTGGGGGTGTGTGGACGTGTTGTGGGGTGCTAATAACGTCTCAGTGTGCTAATATCTGCTGTGCTTTCTGTGACCGAGGCACTAACGACAGAGCTGTGTGTATTGCAGTGGGAACCTGAGGATGGCTTTCCTGCCTCCTGTGGCCGAGGCCTGGGAGAAGAGGTGCTTTACGATAACGCAGTCCTCTACGATAACTTGCCATCTCCGAAAATCTTTGCACGCTACCCGCCTGCTGACAAAAAGGCTTCTAGACTGTCTTCTGACAAACTGTCTTGTAACCATTACAAACACCCTACCTCCTGCAGCCTGCCTTCCACTCAGTCTGTCACTAACACCCCTTCTCTGGGGAGGGCGTCTCTCGGGCTCAACTCCCAGGTACAGCATCTCGTTCTGTTATATTCTAGATTCATCTTTAAGTCACGGTCCTCCCACAGTTTTGCAGTGGTAGTATATTCACCAGCTTGCAGTAAATGAGACTCGTCAAGGGTAAAGCATGATTTTTCCCTCTCAACTAGAATATAATTTGCAAATACAATCAACATTTGGCTACCCAGGAACTGATTAAATATTCCTAACTGGTTCATAGTTTAAACACTGTATTTCTTTGCCTACGTCTGGCTCTCTGTTCTTTTGAATTTTATGAATTATGTCAACTAAGGCAAAGATTGAAAAAGGACGGGACAATAAAACTGTGCAGAAGACTCTTGAGCTGCACGTTTCTTTACTCTGTTTCCATTACATATGAGGAGTGGTGGACTCCATGTACTGATTGCTTTTTACCTGAGTAGATGCTAGTAGGGATGTGGGATTATCATTGAATGATAAATAACCTCGATATTGAACTGTTGTCCGTCTCACACCTCATATTTGTGGCAAATGGTAACATTTCAGGGTAAACACTAATTTTGTGTTTTCATGCATTTTCAACCTAAGAATTTTTTATGCTTTTCATAAAGATCTGAGCACCGTATGTAAGAATACTCTACAAACATAAAGCAGATGGGCATGTTTTAAATTATTTTCTTTTCCCTCTATTTTTTGTATAATCTTAGACAAATGATGAATGCCAAGTAAGACCATAGAAGTTCAGATGGTGATGGCTTACAGCAGCTCCTCCCGGCTGCTCGGCTCCATCAGGATCACATGGGGAAGTTTTTGTTTGATTGTTTTTGTTGTTAAGGACAGTTGCTCAGATTGCATTCCTGGGGATTCTGATTCAGCGAGTCTGAGGGCGCAGACCACTGCAGTCAGACGTGGGAGCCGCTGGCCTCTAGTTTTGTATGAGTCTTTCTGTCAAATGTCTGGTGGGTTACTGAGCAAACGTGTGTCTGTTTATATTTACCTGTCTTTTTATTGGTGTTAGAGTTCCTTGGGGAAGAAACACAAGACAAAGATATGCCGTTCTCTATGTTGGCTTGTCCCCAGATCCGTTTGGAACCATTGGATACACAGTCTCTGTGTGCTTGGTTTTTGCTCGTTTTTATTTTATTTTAAGTAGGAAGCGCATTTGCAGGTTGAATGATAGCGCAGTTAGTTTTCCTGTCCTCATGTGGTCGTTTGAAGGACCTGCTATCAACGGAGAGATCTTTCACTCATTGAACAGCTACAACGTGCCATACGCTGTGCACACGTATAGTGTGTCCTTGAACCTTTTTAGGAACCCTGGAGGCAGGTGCCAGTATCTTTGTATTTTTAAATGAGCACGTGGAGGCTCGGAACGTTTTAGTGACTTGCTCAGTATCTCCTAAATGATGGGCCCAGAATTTGAAGCTAACTGTGTCTGCTCCCACAGCCCAGGCCCCCAGCAGAAGGAGATGTTGTATAGTGGAAAGGCTGAGCTCGGTGTCTAGAGTTAGCTTTTGCCATCTATGATAACAGTCCAGTGTAATAAAGCTGGATTATTACACAACTAAGGCACACATATATCACTTCAGCAAAGTATGACGTTTGTTGGCTTCCAGCAGTCAAAGAGGTAGGGGTATATCAAACTTTTTAAAAGCCTGTGGTTAGTCAACGTTCAGTTCCTACTCTTTCTATACGATGCTCCTCTTGCTTCCTTCCTCAGACCCTGTCAGTGAATCAGAAGGTAGTGGTTTATCCCGTTAGGACGTCAGGCAGTGGAAGGGCCCTTGAAGCAGAAATTGAACTGCACTGTCACACTGCTCCCCGAAAGAGCATTCCACCCAGATAAAAGTTGTCTGTCTTTAGAAACATAAACTTTTGGTAATCTCAACTGAATGCTCTTGGATACTCAACTGCCTTTGCCCATTTCTTGATTAGCATTTATGATCTCCTGATAGAAATATATCACTTTTATTGCTTTCTGACTAAGACATCCTAGAGTTCCTCATTTGCTTTGAACCTTCTTAGCCGGTCCAGGAAAATCACAGCAGTCCAGTGTTTGGGAAGCAAGTTGGTTTTCTACTACCCTCATTTTTGCTGTCTATGCTAGATTTTACTTAAAGAGTCAGAGACTGAAACAATTTACCCAAGAAAACCCAAGTTTTCTTTATTGTTTGTTTTTAATTTTGTTATATGTTTATTTCAACAGTTGAAGGGTAAAAAGCCCCCAATAGCACCCAGTGGGGTTACAGGAAAAGGGAAGACTCTGAGCAGTCAGCAGAAGAAAGCTGATTCCACAGCCAGTGTGAAGCGGACACCGTCCAGTAAGTTTGTCATTCGGGTTCCGGCGTCCTAGTGTTAGGTGCATGTTGCAGAGTTGGGGCTGTCTGAGCCATCTTCTCTCCTCACCTGCCCAGGTAGAGAATGCCAGGGTTGGGGGTCCGTTGGAGAGATGGAACTCTATGCACCGTCATCCTTCCTCATTTGCTGGACTGAAGAATGGCGACGATTTTTAACCCAGCTTTTATGACTGGCTATATAAAAGGAAAAACAAAGCTGGTTTGTTACCTGTAGAATTGGTTAAGCATCTTTAAGTACTGGTTTGTCAAGTGTTAATTGGTTGAGCATAGTTAAGTGTGAGGCAACTGCAGGGGCAAGTGGCCCTGGACTGTGGGTCAGGAGACCTCGGTTTCTGTCCCTGATCTGCTGGTGACTTAGTGACTTCAGGCAAGTCATGTAAACTCTAAACTCAGCTTCTCTATGTTAGAGATGTAGACAAGTGGCTACTGTGGTTTCTTGATTGAAATAATTGAGGTAATATACGTACCTCAAAGCACTAGAGAAATAAAAGGATTTATAAGGAAGCTATTACTTATGTTCTCCTGTTTAGTGCTCATAGCCGATTTTATGAGGGCGGGTATTATCATCCACTCCATCGTACAAACGTGGAAATAACCTCTGAGAGATTAAGTATCTTCCCCAAGGTCGCACAGCTGGCAGATAACAGAACCAGACTGAGAACCAGGTTCTCAGACTCCAAATCTGGCAGGGGCAGACTGAGCAGAGAGGCAGTAAAACACAGTGAACACTCAGTAGCCTTCCGTGTCTCCAGAGAGCTAAGTCTAAGGGGATGCTGTTATCTGTGTGCATCTGTACCTGCTTCAACCCTGGTGCTGCTGGATGCCTGTTCATCCAGCAGCCAGGCAGCATTAGTCATTCAAGGCGCTCTTCTTGTTGGGCTGCAGAGATAAGACAGAGTAGTTGCCGTCGAGTTGCTTCAGTCCAGCTGACTCACACAGGCAGCTCTGCAGGCATACGAGCTGCAGCACAGGCCTTCACGAAGTTCAAGGGCTCCTAAGTCAGTCTGGGCGTGTCAGGAAGGGTTTCCAGGGAGGAAAATGAGAGTTAGACTCAAGTGGTGAGTTTAATATGATCACCCTTGGGAAGCTGTGTCTACACTTTATGAATCTGGCTCAGTGTAACTGGTAGACAAGTCTCCATGTTAAGAAAGCCGAGGCTAGGTGGCCAGTTAGTAACCTCTACACCAGGTGTTCTCAGTACCGAAGTTACTGCCCTCCTCCTTTGCACTGGGGTGTAGCTTCAGAGTTAGAGAGTACACATGGGGGCGGAGAGGCCGGCTGTGTCCTTGGCCCTATACGTGGACCAGCCTCGGAATTGCTCAGCAGTGCTGGCTGCTTCTTGCCCCAGGGAGACCTGTATTCTTTACACGAGCTCCCCTGTGCTTCTGTTCTCCTCGAGCAGACATTGCAAGTGGATGGGAGCCAGCTGGGTCAAATCCTCATCATCGTAATTTGTTTAGTTTCAACTTTATCTTTCTGGCAAATCTTATTTCCATAGTGCTGTTGGGTATATTTATATTCACTTAAATTTTTTTAGTGTGGTTCATTTGTGGAGGGGCAGCGGGGAAGGGACTAACTTGTGCTGAAAGCTTTGTTATGCGAGACCTGAGTCACATGAATTCTCTACTCCTAAAGCATTCTCTCTCAGTACCTATGCTTACTATATTTCCTAGATGATTTACTCCTATATTTTCTGAGACTTTCTGTAGGGAATTTTTATTAACTTTGGTGACATCTAATGGTGACAAAAGAGAAAAATAATTACATTCTGTGTTTTTGCTGAATTCAGCCAGTTGCATTATACACTAGATGGAGTTTATTGCATGGGGACCGAAAGATGGGGAATGTATAGGTTATTGCATATGTTTGTTGGGAAACATCTTAGGTTAGAAGTGAGTGAATAGAGTGGACACTGCCTGTTTGCAAAACATGTCATCACCCTAGCCACTAATAGCAGTGCTTCTGTTTCAGATTGTTGACTTGGTTATCCTCATGATGCCAACCTTTGAATATCTTTCTCTGTGTGTGTTTTCTTCTCTTTTTTAGTGAGGGGAAATTGAGTGGGAAGTGATGACATTGTACCTGTCTTGATAAGTGAGTCTTTCATTGCAATCACAGTGGTTGCATTGCAAAAATTAATGAATTCAGCCTTTAGGACAGGTGCTAGAAATGGCTCACCATTGCCTCTGAGTGGACAGGGCTCTAGGGACTCTGTCGTCACAGACAGTGATTAGAGCTGCTAGTGAGTGTCCCCCACATCCCAGGCATCACATGGTTTTGTTAGATGGGTTTTAGGTGCATGTCTCGGATTTCTTTTAAAAACCCACAGGGTCCACCTTGTCACTTGGGCTTATAGAGGATGAAGCTGCGGCTCAGGGAGGGGACTGGCCTCCCAGAGTCAGAGCCACCGCTCTGGTCCACCGCTTTTGTTATCAGCATTATGCCACCCTCCATGTCTTCTACCCAGGAGGTGTGTCTAGTCCAGTGAGGGAGTCAGATATGCAAATAAACAATCATGGAGTACTGTGAGGGCATGATGTCTAGAGGCTGCTGGGCTGTGATCAGGTGTGAGGGATTAGCTGGTAGAAGCAATCGGGAGACGGTGGAAGCTTTGAAATCTGTGATCTTTGATCAGTCTTGTTGGCATCTCATCATTTCTTCATCTCGTCAATGTATTTTTCCAAAGAGGCTTTTTTTCTACATTATTATTATCAAAAGGCCACCATAATCAGAGGAAAAGAGCACAGGGTCAGGATTTTAATGTGATATTAACTAGTGGTGTGCCGTCGGCCACGTCTCTAAATTTCCCCTAGGACTAATTTCCTTTTGGTTCATTCATTCATTCGTTTTCTTTAATGAGCATATATGTAGTGCTCATTTTGTGCTTGTTCTGAGTGCTTCGTAAGATGAATTGAATCCTCGTAAAACCCTACACGTTCCCTGCTCTTGTCACCCTCATTTCACAGTTGAGGAAACTGAGGCACGGGGAGGAAGTACCTAGTTCAAGGTCGCGCAGCTGTGGTGGGAAGCTGGGGCTCACAGCTGGGCCGTCGGGCTCCAGGCACTACTCTGGGTCGCCCCGTCATTTTCTCATTTGTTCCTTCATTTGCTCAGCCGACGTTTACTGTGTGCTCGGTCCGTGCCAGGTCCTGATCTCCGTGGAGGGGAATAGCGACCATCAAGTCAGCAGAGCAATGGGATGACACAGTTGTAAGGACCAGATGTGACGGTGTTGTGGAAGTGTTTTGAAAGACACAGAGAACTATACACATTCCAGAGATTATTTTTGAAGTTGCTAGACTCCTCTATTTTCAGATTATAGAATGTTCGCTCTCAGCTGTATTGAAGATTGTAAGTTGCATGCCTCAAAGGGAAATGAATTAAAGAACTGTCCTAATATGCTGTTTTCACTTTTTTAATTTGATTCAAAGAATATTGGTTAATTTGAACTAGTCACTTTTCTGCTTAGTTCAAACCGATCTGTTCTTTTTCTTGTTGAGTTGGCAAAATAACTAGCTTTGAGTTGATTTCACTGAGCTGGATGATTAAACAGCCTTTATGAATTACCTTATCAGCTTGTTTAAACCTGATTTCCTATTGCTGCTTTTTTTTAAGATGCTGACCAGTACAAATATGGCAAGAACCGGGTGGAAGCAGATGCCAAGCGACTGCAGACCAAAGAGGAGGAGCTGCGGAAGAGGAAGGAAGCCCTGCGGAACAGGCTGGCCCAGCTCCGGAAGGAGAGGCGGGACCTGAGGGCTGCCATCGAAGTGAACGCAGGTACACGGGCGTGGGGCTGACCGGCCCCGGGCGCCCGCTTGTGTTAGAGCCTAGATTTCATCCAGTCTGCCCACAGGGTCGCTCCATGCAGTGCTTCTTGGAGTCGGGAAGCCCAGGCAGGTGGCACGGTGGTGGAATAATGGAACAAGCGGGAGGCCAGGACTGGCCCTCGCCCTGCTCGCGGAGCGCCCTGCTCGCGGAGAGGCGTGCCAGGGAGCTGTCTCCCCTCCAGTGCTGATAGCAGAGGTTGCCTGGAGCACAAGCACTATAGCCTCAGGGCTCGGGAGTTTCTGCTCACTGTGTACAGTGAGGCAGTTGGGTTTCTCAGCAGGTGGACAGTCCGTAGGGATAAGTGATATCCACAAGCCCAGGTGACAGGTCTCTGCATGGTGGAAGGAGCCCTCCATTCCCTGGGAAGGGACCAGTCAGGGCAAGACAGTGTCTGAGTTCTTGGAAGGGCTCAAGGGAAGACGCCGGGTTAGTGGAAGCAACCTCCAAAGAGGAGCGAGGAGTAAAGGAGTCGTCGGGAGAACCGAGTCGGGAGCCAGAGGGTATCTGAGGACTGGGTTTGTTTGTTCTTGCTGTCGGGGGCTGGGTCTATGGTTCCTGGCTCTGGGGACGGAACTGCTCAAATGTAAATTGCCTCAGCTCAGGACTGGTTCTTATCCTAGGGCAAGACCGACTCTTTAGATTTCGATTTTGCTGGCCTTGGGGGGCGGCGGGGAACACCGATGCAGAGAACCAGGAAGGTCCAGAGGGAAACTCCTGCTTTCAAGTGGCTCACCAGCTGGGGAGGAGTTGGTGTATAAGCACACAAAACAGCTGATCAGCAGTTCGAGCCTTTTCTGACGTTGTGGCTAAATGGTTTTTATGAAAGGAAGTGCCTTTGGAGTTTAAGGAATGGGAGGCTAGGTGTAGGCGGAGCAGATCCAAGATGAAGAGGCAAGATGTGACCTGTAGCATCAGGCTGCCTGGGAGGAATCAAATGCTTAGTCAGAGAATTGGGTAGGAGCTTTTAGGTCAACAAGACAGAAGTAGAATTCCTTCCTTCTGTTGTTTCAAGTTTGCAGGATAGTGAAGATGCAGAAAGATTAGATGAGCTTTTGGCCTCAAAAAAGAGACTCTCACGTGCTGCCAAGCAGTAGACCAGGGCCACGTCCTCACATCAGTTAACCCCTTGGAATCGGTTTTCTTATCTGTCAAGTGGGTACATTACCTGCCTTCCTATGTCACTGTAACACCTTGCAAATAAAACAAATAAGTGAGTGTGCCTTAAAAAACATATGCCGTGTTCTGTAGAGATGCTGGCTGTGTTATAGTTTGACTGCACATCAGTAAGATGACTCAGGAATAACTGGCAGAAGAATTAGAACAGAAGAACATTCAGACTTGTCAAGTAAGTGGCACCTTTGGAAGCCAAGTAGATTAAGTTCCCCATTTTTAAATGAGTGTGATGAAGCCCAGACCCAGAACTCCTCAAATTTGTGAGAATCAAGGTCTTGTGCTTCCTGGTCCACAGTCTTCCAGCTGCAGCAAAGGAAGTGATTGGAAAAGGACTTTGTTTCTTTAAAGCACAGCTGAATTTTAAGTTCCGTAGAAAAGATCCAGGGGAGCTCAACCTTCAAGTTCCACAGAGCACCCTTTAGGGGCCCCAAACGTCCTCCGTTATTTTGAAATCCTTGCCTGTGGCTGGAGCAACAGCGTTTCTCTGGGCTTTCAGGCAGGAAGACCCAGGTGATTCTGGAAGATAAGTTGAAGAGGCTGGAGGAGGAGTGTAAGCAGAAGGAGATGGAGCGCGTCAACTTGGAGCTGGAGCTGACAGAGGTCAAGGAGAGCCTGAAGAAGGCCCTGGCTGGCGGGATTACTCTGGGGCTGGCCATCGAGCCCAGATCAGGGACATCGAGTCCACAGGTAACGTCCTGCCGGCTCTCCTAGCAGCTGCGTGGTCGTGGGCGTCCAGAGAAAACGCTCATGTTGTTTTCTCCAGGGGCCGCCCGTTGTCCCCTGGCATCAGCACAGGAGATACATAAGTCACGTGTCAGCTTCCAGGACTGTTCTCTGCTGTGTTCAGTTCACTGATGTCAAATGTGCTTTTCTCGTTCTCTGGGCTTTTTAAAAGGTGGTGGAAACACCGAGTCTATTTTCTTCCCCTTTGTGAAGTCTGATTATAATTGGTATGGTTCTTTTTATCTCTTTGGAACCATGTCGTAATTTGATGCCAGTTCATTAGAGAGAAACTTTAATTCAGTGCAGCAAAGTTTTATAAAATGTCTAGCATGTCCTGAGAACCGTGCCAGGTGCTGGGGAAATGGAAATGAATGAGCACAGTCTGTATGCTCTTAGAATCCAGCAGAACAAATGGAGGTCACTTTTCAGACATGAATTATCACCTTCAGTGATTTACATTCACTCTCATCTGAGAACTTACTGTTGTCTTTTCCACATGGTTGTTCCATCAAATCCTTACTTCCTTGTGAGTCCGATGCGATTGCTTCCATTTAACAAATGAGGGACCTGAGGCCCAGACAGGTACAGTGAACTGCCCGAGAGCACGCAGCTGATTCGGGACAGACCTGAACTGAGCCCCTTCCTTCTCACTGAAGCCCCAGGCGTGCGCCCCACCGCCCACCCCACCTTGCAGCACCCCCAACACTGGCGTTTCAAGTCCTTCTTTCCAAACCCCTTGCCAAAACGCTGAGCTTGGGTGACTCCCCCGCGGCCCCTCCCTACAGTGCTGGGTGGATTTACTGGGAGGATGCGTGGATTTACAGAGGCGTGGCACCTCTGATGTCCAGGCGCCCCCTCACCGTGTCCAGCAGCCCAGCCCCTCGCCTTTGTCACCTCATTCTGCCGGTCTCACAGAGGCTGTCTCAGAACTTCTCCCTCTCCTCCCAGCCCCAGTCTCCTGGCCCTCTCCAGGGGCCACCCCCTCCCTTTCAGAAGAGGCCTCCCCTACTTGCCGAGCGAATTCAAGCAGCAAGGGAGGTGCTCCTGTCACCAAAACCACACCCCTAGCTGTGCCCACACTTTCTCAGCCACCGCAGAGTAGAGTGTTGGGAAAGCAGGCTCTGTGCTCGAACAGGCCAGGGTGTGAGGTTACTTACCTTCTCTAGGCCTCAATACTTCCATCTGTAAAACGGGGATGATAATATTGCCTACTGCACAGTGTCATGTATGTAGAAGCTCTTGTCGCAGTGGCTAACCAAAGAAAATGTGTGTTCATTCATTCATGTGTTCATTAGCTCACATACACATTCATTCATTCGTTCAGCAGATTTTATATATATACGTATGCTGTGCTCCTTCAATGTGTCAGAGACTCTTGTAGGCCCACAGCAGGGAGCGTGATAGATGAGAGTCCCTCTCTTCGTGGAGCTCATATTCCGTGAGGGCAGACAGACAATAAACCATAGTGATGTCAGATGTTGATAAGGCTGTGGAAGCAGCGTGGCGGGCAGGTGCAGTGGGAATTAGAATCCAAGGCCTTTCAGCATCCGACAGCAACTGGGGCCAAGGGCACGACGCAGCCAGTGCTAGCTGGAGAGAGGAGGTGGCCAGTGTGGGGCAGGGGTCTTTCCTCACTGCATGAGACTTGTGGGCCCTCGTGACGCTCGTCACAGGTGGTCTGGAGGCAGGAAACCATGTGGACCCCTGGGCCTCTTGACCTCCCTGGAGGGTGTCTGAGGAGCTGCCAGCATCGCTGTCTGGGGTCCAACTGGAGGGGCCAGTTCTGGGCTCTAGGTGCCACCCTCTCCTGACTCCCTCCTGTATCTCCAGCTCTCTGCTGGCTTCCTTCAGAGCATTTAAGGTTCTCTACTATGTTCCATCTTAAAAAAGGGGATTCTACCTTGGCCCCACATTCCCCGCCAGTTCCTGTCCTGTGTTTCCCACCTTCCCTTCCAGACTGAACTGCTGGAAACGGTTGTCAGTGCCCACAATGTCCAGTTCAGCCCACTCACTTCTCGACTCACTGTGGTTTGGCTCGTCCTGGAAACTGCTTCCACTGAGGGTGACCTCTAGAAGTCTAAATCCACGGTCCTCACCTCTCCGGTTCAGACGTCTCAGGCCCAGCCAGCTGCCTTCTGTCTGTAGTGACCTCACATCCTCCGGGGTTTGCCCTGTCTCTCGAGAGTCTCCCTCTTGGCCGCCTGTGGTCAGCTTTTCTTTCTTTTGGCCCACATAGCCAAGCTCGTCCTTCTGAAGGTGCAGGGCCGGTTTCTTTGGGCTCCCTGCTCTCAGACCGCAGGGCCTGGCTGCTCCCTCTCTCCCGAGCGCCTCTCCTTGCACTTGGGTTGCCATCCCTTGCCCGGCGTGGCAGCCGTCTGTGTTATTCCCGCGCAGACCACGTCCTCAGCAGAGCGGCGTCAGATGGGTGGTCCCAGAGAAGTGTCGGTGCTGCCCTGCTCAGAGCACAGCCCGGCCTCTCCCAGAGACGACGGTCGTGCCTCTCCTTCTCACCAGCCCCTCCGTCCCGCGCTCCCTCAGGCCAGCGTTGCCTTTTAAAAGCATTCCCATAAAACCAGACCCTGAGTGCAGCAGCTGCTAGGGGTCCGTGGTCGGTAGCCCCAACGGGGGTTCTCAGCGACCTATTGTAATGGCAATCGAAACACTGTTCTCCTAAAACGGTGCGTGTGTAACCTAACCTGTGTTTTAAGTTACGGATCCCACAGTAGTAACGGGGAGCGTTTATTCCTCGGAGACTTCGCTTGGGTAGGCACAGCTAATTGCCAACCCTTTTCCTTGAGAGCAGCTCGTAATCTCATAGGGAAGAGTCAAGGATGGGGTTCTGGGCAACTGAAGATGCATTTTGTTCCATTTTAAGTCTTCCAGAAAACGTCTTCCTTTGGCATACATAACTGCTGTAAATAGTCGGAAATCCTCAGTATTAGTCAGCTTGGGTCGCCCCCACGACCCCACCCCATATGACTGGATTCGTGAGCTCGCGCTCCACGCTGCCGCTCATCGTGCTCATCAGTGATTTCTACTGCCTGGGTGTTGCAAGGGCGGCTGCAGATGTAAGAGCTCTTTGAAATTAGAAAGAACTCTACTTTGGAGGCTGCACGACAGGGCGGGAAGAGCTCACATTGAATGCACAAGACGTGGACTGGAATCCCTCCTTCCCCATGTCCCAGCCACGACCAGCAAGTTAGAGCGTCACTCTGAGCCTTAGTCTTTGTATCTGTAAAATGGACGTTTCAAAGGTGCTCTCAAAATTGGGCACTGACTACATGGTGGTCCTTATTATTGTGGTTATTACTTTTTTCTATTTCCAAAACGCATTTTTTTTCTTTAAAATAAACCATTTTTCTGCTGGAAAATACCAATGACCTGGAAGTCATACCTGACCCAGGTCTTCTCTCTCCACTGACAGTCCCCAGTTCCTAGGCACCGGACTCTGGAGAACTCGCCCATGTCCAGCTGTGAGACCAGTGACGCGGAGGGTCCAGTGCCGGTGAACAGTGCAGCCGTCCTGAAGAAGACCCCGCCGGCCGCCGGCAGCTCCCCCTGCCGGGGACACGTGCTTCGGAAGGCCAAGGTGAGTCCCACCCTCCTCGCGTGGACTCAGGAGTCCCACAGGCTCTTCCTCTTCAGGCTTTTGTGGGAGGGTGGGAGGAGCTAAGTTTGTCCTCCTGTTCCTGTGTGGACAGCCTTCTGTTAGATGCCGCCTCATCAACATTTACCAAGTTCTCCCACAGACAGACGCTCCTTTAGCAATTGCCTCCTTTGGGGAGTCAAAGGCCAGAAAGACCGGAACCTTAGAGGCCAGGAGAACCAGCAGCTCCGCTTCTGTCTCAGAAGGGGCAGGCCTCCTGGCTTCTCCTGGCTTGTTTTTTTATTGGTGGAGTAGAGATTGGACCAAGCGACCACTGAGATCCTTTAAAAACAAAGTCCAGGCCTAAGCTCTTCTCCAGTCCCTCCCTGCCCTCAGCCTTACAGATCCGCTCTCTGAGGCTGCAGTAGGAAACCTCTGCCGTCCGTCCTGCAGTATCTTCCAGGCTTCTCATGGGATTAGCCACTAACAATTTTTGATGCTCAACTTAAAAACCTCAGAAAATTTAAAAAACAGTTTCTAGTTTATCAGATCAAACCGCTCTCGACTGCAGTCGCTGAAAGCATGTCGTACAAAAACCACACTTGGTACGATTACGTTGATTCATCGAGGTGAAGTTAATTTGTCCCGCCGACCGTGGAGCCCAGACGTCCACTCCTCTCTCTCCGGGGCCTCTAATTGCTGTCATTACTTTTGTTCTCTGGCAGCATTGGAACCCGTTCCAATTGGCTAGAAATACACTATTTTCTGAGGGGGATCTGGTGATAGAGAAGAACATGAGTGCTGCCCACTTGCTGAGCTCCAGTGTGCTCACGGGGAGGGCCCTGATGGCCGTGCTGGTAGACAGCATCCTAGAATGTCTGTCCTTCCCAGCCAGTGCCTTTGACTGAGGGCTGTGTGTGTGGGTAAACGGAGGGAAGAAGAATTACCGTGCATCGTTTCTGTTACTTTTGTTGGCATCCATCAAGTGTTCTTGGTTTGTAACTATTATGCTCATTTATAGAGGAATAGGTTTTGCCTGAGAGATATTTAGCATTCAGCTGTCCAGTAAAGTCGCCCTAATTATTTGCAGATGAGAAAAGCAGTAAAAACTTTTCATTTATTTAGTTTCTTTACTGTCAAAGAAATCAGATTTACAATTATGCAACTCCAGCCTCTGAAGGGCTCTGGTTCCTGGGGGCGCTGCACCATCTAGAGACGTGGCTCTTCAGTTCTTGCCGCTTCTTATGATAGATGTAAAACCCGTGGTTACGGCCCGTTCAGATGCACAGCCGGCCAGTGAGACCGGCCCACACTCAGGGGGAAATGGCTGTCCCTGCTCACAGGTCTGGGTAACACTGTGGAAGTGTCCCAGAATCTTGTCCACAGACTCACTAAAAGAGTAGGATTGAGCAGGGATTTTCTGGTATTCCTGAGAACACTGACACGGGACCCACGGCTGGCGGGGGGGTGGTCTGGCCCTTCGGCTCTAGGAGCATTAGCCTACGTGTAGGTGCCTCACACGCGTGGTCTCATCTGCCACCCCACCTTTTTCTGAGGACCAGAAGAGTCTGACTCATTCTGGGCATGAGAAGTGTTTTCCCAGGCAGTATTCCTAAAATAATCCCCAATTCCTGATGAAGGATGCTCTGATGTGAGAGAGCGAGTTCCGGAAAGTCAGATGGTTTCCAGTCACCTGTCATAGGGTTTCCTAGCTGAGAAGGGTTTACAAGTGGCCAGGGCACTGGCCCCAGGCCCAGTGTTTCTCCCCGGCAGCCTGGGAAGCTGTGTGTTGCGAGCTCCAGAAGCCCGGGCACGATGGCTGCCGTCCTGCGGTCTCAGAGCCGCCGCATGTGAGCCCTTTGCCGGGCATTGAAATATCGGGTGCCTGAAGTGCTCACGTGTGGTTTATTGTGGACGGGAGCTCAGTCTTGGTTTCGTTTCTGCCATGTTTGCTAATGCTGTGTTTTTAACCATTAATTAAGCTTGAACCTTTGATTCTAGAAAAGATAAGAAGTTCTTCAATTTTATACACTGTGCAAAGGTGTGCAGTGTTCTCATGCCCTGTTAATAAACCCCTGGGAAGACAGTGGGCATCAGGCGTTTGTATCAGACCAGCACCGCCACACATGGTGCCACTGAGGACTGAGGGGGACAGTCCCCGCTTGGTGACCAGGCCTCGTGGTGCCAGGCCCTGTGGTGGGGACTTACACACGTGTTCTCCTTTGATTCCCAGCGGCCCTTTGAATTCCTTGGTGGGCCTCACGTTGATCTAATTTCTGGATCACATGGTAACTCTCTTTGATTATTTGAGAAACCACCATGCTGTGTTGCACAGCGGCTGAGAGCCCACACTTTTTAGGTCACAAGCATTAGTGGGTGTGGCCTGACACCTTGCCGTTGTGATCTGTGCACCACTTCTCTGCTTACCTTGTTAGGAGTGGGAGCTGAAGAACGGAACATAGAGACCTGCAGGACTCTGCGGCTCGACCAGGCGCTGCCCCTCCGGATGCTGACCTGAGCGCAAGAGCTGCCCCGAGGGCTTGGCAGCAGGCCGCCAGGGTTCGTGGTGAGCTGTGACGCCCTCACCCGGACCCGGCTCATGCGTATCCCTTCTACCGTGTAATGGTGCCCTTTACAGAACTTGACTTGTAACACTTGGATTTCCAACTTTATTTGTTAAAAAACAAAAGGGGATGAAAAGGTATTATAAAAGAATCCTGTGGCAGATGAAGAAGTTACATCTTTTACCCAGTTGAGTGATTGCTGTAACCAGTTTCAGCACAACCCTGGACTGAAGATGAACGGGGCAGTGGGCCCTGGATGAGACCCGATGGGCAAGCAGGAGCGTGGACTCGAGCGCCTGCTGGGGCCTCTCTGGAGGAGCGTGACCAGTGGGCACTGGGATTGCTCATCTGCCAGGAGGGCCCGGGACTTGTCTCTGCCACGTGAACGCATGAACTCGCGTCTCAGTGGCCCTTCCCCACGTGCCCATCCCCGTTGTCACCTGAGGTAAAGGATGAGAAAATCGTGCTGTGAAGCATTTGTTACCTTTTAATTTTTTTTCTGGACAGATGCTTTTGTCACCAGGACACGAAAAGCTGCCAATATTTTTAAACTTTAAAAAAATTTCTTTTTTATTGTGTGTGGCACTTGGCTCTAAGGGTTTCTCAGAGGTTCTGTATCTTATTTTATGGACGATCTGAACTGCTTTGAAAGGCAGCGGTGTGTTTTCGATCCTTCAGTGACGTGTGTCCTTTCTCCAAATCCAGACCCTTTCTTCCACTGCAGGGCCAGCAGGTTGTCCCCTCACGCGGCGGCCTCACAGGGTCCTGGTTAGACTTACGTTTACAGGACCTATACTGATTGGGTTGTCACTCCTTTGAAAAGGAAGCAGGTTCTGGAGACTGTGCAGAACATGACACCCCAGAGCAGGGGAAGGGCCCCGCCCCTGCCTCTGGGTGCAAATCGAAGCTGTGGCGGCCGGGGACTCAGGCCCGCTGCTCTCTGCACGGTGGGCTGGGGGCGGCTCCTCATCAGTCTTCTTGTTTGCCTGCTCTGTGGCGTTTCTTGGAGCCATCAAACACTAGGCGTGAAGGGGATAGACGGGCTTCCGAGGTGGAGCTAGTTTCTCCCCTGTGGGTCTAGGAACCGGACTAACTCTCCTTTATCTCCAGAGGGACCCTCTCGGGAGTTCTCGGTTGTGGGAAGGGGCAGCCACTGATGAGGACTGAAGTTGGTCACCAGGAGCGCTCTGCAGACCGATTCACAGGAACAAGCCACACACGTGGAGGGGCCCCTCCTACCGAAACTGAGAACTGCAGTGATGCTGCAGTTTCGTCCCTACCTGGAGCGTCCTTCTTCCCAAATACAGGCGTGGACGGCAGGAGGCAGCCTCCCCATGCCTCCCCCAGGTGCCCTTCCAGCACATCCTGCGTGGCCACGTCTTCCACAGGCCCTCGTGGTGGCGTTCACGTGTGATGTCCTGGTCCCCGAGCCCTGCGGGGGCTGTGTTTGATTTTACTGACTAGGGCAGGACACCAGCCTCCAGTGCACAAGGAAGTTTTACAGCAGGAATTGGAAGCTGTTTCACGGGAGCCCACCTGAAACTTGAATTTATTGCAAAGCCACCTGCCAGGAGCGCTTCTGGTTCGCGGGCGGTCGCCCGGCACCCCACTCGAGAGCTCCCTCCCTCACAGTCGAGCAGCTTGAGGCACAGCCCCCCAGCACAGCACGTGGGTTTCATACCCCAGGAGATCCAGGTGGGAAGCTGGGAGGGAGGGAGTGAGCCCTTTCCCCTGGGAGGGGCCCTCTGCCTGTGTTCTTCTGTCACTGTAGGAAGCTAGACCACTTTGCATCATATGAAGCTAATTTCTGTAAAGGGAAGAAAGTTTTATCACCGTAGATTTTTGCTGCCTTCCAGCCAGAGTTTCTCCACTTAGGGCTCGGGGGCCATTCTCATTGTCAGCCACCTTTGCCCAACTCACCTGCCAGGTTTCGATTGTTATTAAGAAGGAAAGCATGAGTAGCCTGCGTTCTTGACCTGAGCCCGGCGGAGGTGGGCACCGCTGCTCTGGTGGGCGCACCATTAGCCGGGCATCACCTCAGACGGCACCTGACCATCGTCTTCACGGGTCGCGCCCGAGGACACAGCTGGTTGGTGCCAGAGGCAGGGTTTGGGCCCTGGGCTGCAGACTCCTGGCATCCATATTTTGTGTTTAAAAAACCCCAGTTTTTTTTATTTATTTTATTTTTTCCCCCCAAAGCCCCAGTGGATAGTTGTATGTCGTAGCTGCACATCCTTCTAGTTGCTGTATGCGGGACTCGGCCTCAGGATGAACGGAGAAGCGGTGCCTCGATGCGCACCCGGGATCCGAACCCGGGCCACCAGCATCGCAGCGCGTGCACTTAACCACCAAGCCACAGGGCCGGCCCAAAACCCCAGTTTTTAATTCTCTCTCATAACCGTAAGCCTTTTAAAGAGGATGGTGAACTTAAACGAAGCCTGTTGTGTCCATGGAGCCATTTAAAAATGGGTCCCGGGGAGACACGGCCGCCAACACTGGGCTCCTGTGCTGGCGTGTGTTCCCCTCAATGTTTTTAGATTTGATCAGAAAGTTAGTTTAAAGCATTTGCTTCAAAATAAGTTATTTATTTGTATATGTTCAATAAATATAGTTGTTAATTTATATCTGTACATATTAGACACACATCAGGCATCTTGTGGGAGTTCTGACAGCGATCTCCTTTTATGACCCTCCCAGAACGTGCCCAGGAGCACGTACCCCCTGGCCCCATGGCGGCCGAGAGACTTGTGAAGAGGCTGGCTGGGCGGTGAGAGCCCGACCTGGCCCCTCGCTGCTGGGCGCAGGGACGTGGCGCTGGCCACGTCAGCTTCCTTTAGAAACATCACCCGTTCCTTTAACAGATGGCCGTGTTCACAGAGTGCTTGCCAGACTGTAACAGGCTCCTGAGCAAACATGAGAGGAGTGTGGTAGCTGCACGGAGGGGCTGGTGTGGGTCACGGGCCTTGCCTTAGGCCCTGAGGCCAGGCTGTCCGCCTTGGGGTTCTGCTTCTGACTATATTTTGGTAAAGTGTCATCAACCTTCAAAATCCCCTCCATTTTTATCTTTTTATAATGTTTTTAATTCACTAACCAACTTTCTGCACAGAAACAAAGCAATGGTCAGAGTGCTCGCGTGTCACCATGGCCTGGGGACAGGTGGGGATGGTCACCCTCCTCCGCCTAGTCTGTAGGCGGGGCCCGTCTGTGTGTGTCAGAGAAGCCAGCAGCAGTGGCCTCGCGGCCTCGGGATGGGTCCACTGCGGGGTAACCCGTCTGGGGAGTGGTCCCAGATGCCGGGACTCACCCGTCCAGGTGGGCACTGCCTCCCGCACCCGGAGCTCTGCTCTGGGGACTGCCGTGCGTGTGCCACCAGTCTCGTCCCTGCCACTCGTACACCTTAGCGTCGCCAAGCCTGATCTTCTGCCTTGTTCATCTCACTTGTCCTGGAGTTATTTTTGGCTGTTTCTAAAAACCCCAAACTACTCTGATAGGTTGGAGATTTGATACCTTTTGCAAAGTCTGCTTCAAAAGTTTGTTTCCTGGGCCCTGAAGGCCACCCCCAGGAAGGCGTTTCCGATTGGTTTTAATCGTGGCAACAGTTTAGAACTGGTGTACAGATTTCCAAGGGGAGAGCTCTGAAACTGCAGGTGGCCGTGGGGATTGTGGGCAGACCTATTCGTTTGTGATCACATCTTTTCTTTCGAGAAGAGAATATTAGCTCTGTCAGCGCACTGTTTTGGTGTGGCTCACCAGGCCTGGCTCACCAGGCAGTGTCCTCGTGATTCACCACATCGTGTGACAGGAGGTGCCAAGGGCGGGCAGCCGGGCCTGTCCTGCCAGAGGAGACGGCGTCTGCTGCTCTGGCGCCCTCTGCGACCCAGCCTGGCCTCGCGCAGCTGGAGGGCTGAGTGCAGGCCAGCGGCGCTGGTCCTGAGAAACAGCCTCTCCCGGAGCTCGGGCCCGGCGGGCTCCACCACTCCCACGTCGGCAGGCTCGGTGCTGCTCGGTTTACGGAAGGGGCCCGGCGACGGTTAAATGGGAAACCATTGCCTTCCTCTTTTTTTCCATAAAATAACCTTTTTTAATGGGAAAAAAAAATTTCAAATCATGGCATAGTTTTAAAGAGGGTAATTATTATTATTTTTTGTATCTGTTATTATTACTGTCTTATTATTATCCCCACTGTGGGCCGGGTTGATACTGTGAAGTAAACTAAAAATAAATAAAGATTTGGTGCCGTACACACACAGCATCACAATAAAAGCAGAGTCCCTCTCTGCCGAAGCAGGACAGCCTTCGTTTGTGCCAGAGGGGACCTTCACGCCGAGTTGTTGGCTTCAGATGCATCCTTTTGCCCATCGTTTGTGAAATATTTCCAGTTATGTTCTTCCAGAAAAGCCCAGCTTTTCAGTGTGTATTATCAGGTGTTTCTCCTTGTTGCCATGGAAGATGTTTTCGAAATGGGATCATCCGATCATAATTCTTAGGGATCAGAGGTGTTTGTTTTTTCCTTTTTTTTTTGCTGAGGAAGATCAGCCCTGTGCTAACATCTGCCAATCCTCCTCTTTTTTGCTGAGGAAGACTGGCCCTGGGCTAACATCCGTGCCCATCTTCCTCTACTTTATATGGGACGCCACCACAGCATGGCTTGACAAGCGGTGCATTGGTGCACGCCTGGGATCCGAACCAGCAAACCCCAGGCCGCCGCAGCGTAGCGCGCACACTTAACCGCTTGTGCCACCGGGCTGGCCCCCCAGAGGTATTTTTAATAAGATAATCTTTGTATTTGATTTTGTAATGAGAAAGGAAATATTAACTTTAAATTTTAACATCAACTTTTAAATTATAGATATTCAGTATTAATTGACCATGGCTATAAGTTGTAAAATGTTTTCATATTGAGAATGTAATTATTTCCTTATTGTATTTTTTAAAAACTAAAGTCATATTTAAAATTCTCTT